AATTATTTTGACGCTTGTGAGCTATTTTTAATAACTGAGTCGTTCTTCGTGGAAACAACGCACAAGCCTTCAATGTTGCTCCGATAGGGCAGTCTCATAAAATGTATAGAAAACCAAAAAATACGGACGTTTTTAATTTTTTTTTTAATATGGAAGAATTTTGAGGGATAAATTCAAGGCGAGCTTTCAAAATGAACCACTTTTTTCGATTATGGACTTCCATTTCTAGCTCATCCATGAACACCTCACTAACAGTACATGCTGCATACAAAAAAAAAAAAAAAAAAAAAACTACTAAACTAACTACTAAGCTGAATGCTAAACCAATAGCATATATACCCCGGTGTAATTCCACAACCACGTATCTCGGTTTGCGACAGCAGACTTCTTGCCATACTTCATGTTTTAAATGGAAAATTACTCAACGACACTTTTTAAAAACTGCCGCGATTTTTTTTCTTTGTGCGAACAAAATTCTGCCAAAACTTCAAGTAATGATGTCGATAGGTTCTCCTTTACAAAAAAAAAGGAAAAAAAAAATAGGAGCGGAGATTTTCAAACACCGCAAACGAGAAGCATGGTTGCGGACTTACATCGTCGATACGTTGTCTCTAAAATGAAATTAGAATTACCAAGTCATCATTACAAAATGTAGTCCACTTGCATTATATTTTGCAATACGGAACAAATGTCTTTTTATCATCTATAAAGTAACAGATTTTCTACTTCAGGTATATGACAAAAAGAGACAAGTAAAATACATTTGCCTATGCTTAACACATCTATTTTTACATACGAATGAGCAAAATTTCCTTTCCTCGTTAACTATAACTTATTAGTGATATTTTTTAGTTCTAACAGATTCCCTATCTCAAATTATGTTGATTTTAAACGACTGACATTTTTATCAATTTTTTCCCAAAATAAAAAAAAAACTCGACAGATTCTGTGCACCTTTCCGCACGACAGTCTATTAACCTTAATGATTGACTGCAATCGAAGCTCTACCGTGTTATTAAGCGAAAATATTAAGTTTTAGAAAAATGGACCTAACAGGGGAAAGGCGGACAATCTTATTGAACAAATTCTCCATTCAACGTTATGATGTCAATATCTAATCATCCAAAAGACTCTGGAATATTTTTGGGATTATTAAAAATCACAAATATGACATATAATATCTTCAACTGTTGAAAGGAGGCCCTTCGGGTCCTACTTATTTCGCGTTCGACAAATCTGCAGAATGCGCTACTTTCTTGCAAGATCAATGGTTTTGGACATGCAACGCACAAATCTTAAGGTCATTCATAAAAATGGACAGAAAGGGCACCAGTTTACTCAAGACAGCAGCAAATACAACTCTCGCTCAATAATATGAACTTCCTTCTATTTGATCTAAATTGACGTCATTTTTCCCGTGCTCGCAGTTTTCTCATGACTTCCGTTTTTTTGAACCAATTAGACAAATTATGCTGTCACTCGGTCCGATTGAAGGAAACTCAATTTCGAAAATGTGGATTTTACTGCTCCCTTCTTTATCATGGCAGAGCTTCCTGCAGGTGCACCCTGCCAGGAGGAAAAACCCCTGTCATACGATGCGAATAGTTTAATTGGCGCTTTTTGGTGCAAAAAACTGAGCTCTCAGTCGAGAAAACTGACCGTTTCAGTCGATAGAACTGAAACTCAGTTCAGTGAAGTTTAAGAGAACCAAGAGCTTAAGGAAGTTTTTGTTCACCGGATCGAAAAATGTCAGTTCATATGAAACAGGTTCCCTGAGAACCAATTTTTCTTTTTTCAGAAAGTTGGTAGAGTAGCTAACGTGCGGCGCAAGTCAGCATGAAGCTGAGCATCTTAAAATAGAAGGGAAAAGCTCACACACTGGCACAAAGAGGGTTATTCATATAGGCGAAAAATGTACCCAGCCCGGAATGTACGAAACTTTGTAGGCTGATAGTACTAGTTGAGAGAGGCTTATCCCTAGCTCCGTTTTTGCAGGAACCCCAGGGAAACAGCGTTGCCATTTTTTAAAGTCGTAACCTTCAAACATCCATAACTTTCGCAAAAATGCAGTTACAGAGCTCGTATTTATACCAAAAAACGCAAAAAATTACGTTTTATCGACCTATGCAAAAGAAATTTTAATTTGACTCCACTGTTGCCACGTTTCGGTCATTTTTTTAATTTTCGTAATTATTTAAAATCACGTTACCGCCTAAAAAAGTGTTTGCGGTTGGTGGGGATTGAATAAAAACCTGTCGGAATTATTGTTCGTTCGATTCCGCATCCATTGATATATTATACTTTTCTGAGAGACTTAGGGAACACGAGTTATAGCGATTTGAAAATTCGGCAACACGTCCGACGCCCGATATTGACGCTCGTTTCGGTACGTTTCGCGACTCCGTGTTAAAGCAAAACGCCTAGACCAAGCAAAATTCGAAAAGTCAGCCCATGATTTGCACTTTTTTGAAACTTTTACACGATTTTTAAGAATTCAAGTAGCGGCGGTGTTGCCGGTTTTCAATGAAAACCACCGCTGCGATCACAATTTAAAGTAGTACTCATTTAATCACGTTCAGCTAACCTAAACTGACCATTTGCGATATGGTGTTCACAACATTGCCTAATTTCCGTCGGAATTCGCGTAGAGGCGGGGTTGCCAGTTTTCATGGAAACCGCCACCGCAATCACAAAAAAAAATGTATTACTTATTTAATCACGTTCAGCGTTATTCTGTAGTTGGAATTGTTTATTTATCGAATCGATGGTTTCTGCTATCTCTCTGCAACGGCGGTGGTGCCCGACAGTAACGAGATATCGATATTGTATAGAGATCAAGAGCAATGGATCTAGGTCCCCTGCCAAAATTACTCATCGGACCGATTGAGTGATTTGTGGGCTTAAATTTCGATATCTCGTTACTGTCGGGCACCACCGCCGTTGCAGAGAGATAGCAGAAACCATCGATTCGATAAATAAACAATTCCAACTACAGAATAACGCTGAACGTGATTAAATAAGTAATACATTTTTTTTTGTGATTGCGGTGGCGGTTTCCATGAAAACTGGCAACCCCGCCTCTACGCGAATTCCGACGGAAATTAGGCAATGTTGTGAACACCATATCGCAAATGGTCAGTTTAGGTTAGCTGAACGTGATTAAATGAGTACTACTTTAAATTGTGATCGCAGCGGTGGTTTTCATTGAAAACCGGCAACACCGCCGCTACTTGAATTCTTAAAAATCGTGTAAAAGTTTCAAAAAAGTGCAAATCATGGGCTGACTTTTCGAATTTTGCTTGGTCTAGGCGTTTTGCTTTAACACGGAGTCGCGAAACGTACCGAAACGAGCGTCAATATCGGGCGTCGGGCGTGTTGCCGAATTTTCAAATCGCTATAACTCGTGTTCCCTAAGTCTCTCAGAAAAGTATAATATATCAATGGATGCGGAATCGAACGAACAATAATTCCGACAGGTTTTTATTCAATCCCCACCAACCGCAAACACTTTTTTAGGCGGTAACGTGATTTTAAATAATTACGAAAATTAAAAAAATGACCGAAACGTGGCAACAGTGGAGTCAAATTAAAATTTCTTTTGCATAGGTCGATAAAACGTAATTTTTTGCGTTTTTTGGTATAAATACGAGCTCTGTAACTGCATTTTTGCGAAAGTTATGGATGTTTGAAGGTTACGACTTTAAAAAATGGCAACGCTGTTTCCCTGGGGTTCCTGCAAAAACGGAGCTAGGGATAAGCCTCTCTCAACTAGTACTATCAGCCTACAAAGTTTCGTACATTCCGGGCTGGGTACATTTTTCGCCTATATGAATAACCCTCTTTCTCTTAAAGAGTTGTGCTGTTTGGTGCAACACTAGTACTTCACTCGAGAGTACGGTACGGGCATGTCGAAAATGGAGCTTTTAGGGCCTGAAAGGACAGGTAACCTTCGAACACAAAATAGGCACCGCAAATCTTCAAATTCAAATATCGAACCAAGACCGCAAGATGACTGAGAATGTTCATACATGAGCGTTTTTCCGCAAAAAAGAATAAGTTTACTCAAAAGCTAAGTCAAATAGGTGCTTTACAAACGACGGGTCGTACAAATTGCTAAAATAAATCACTCTGAATATTTTGAATTTATAGGTTGGCTGCCTTTTTGGGCCCAAACTCTGAGACAAGAGAACCTCCACTGGCTTCTTGGCGACAGGTGGAAGCTTTTACTTTCGGGGATTCAACACTTTCTTACACACGATTATAAGGGAGCAACAGTCATTACTCTTTTTATACCTACATGGTGGATGATGAACTTACTCATGAGCCAAACGAATTTCCCGAACTTCGGTATGTTTACAAAATGAAACTCCCAACACGTTGTCGACCATCAACCAAGTAGGTAGGTCAACAGTTGAATGTTGAAGTCTCGAAAGTAAAAGCTTCCACCATTGCATTGTCAAGATCCAAGACATATAGACGGAGCAGTAGACGAAAAAAAAAATGATGCAAATTCATGTAAACTCTCCGATTGGCTAGATGATTGGTGGCGAAATCGGGACAGGTTTGAAATTCAAATATAAGGTGGTAATTGAATAAAATTGCGTAAACAAAGTATTTTTGGTTGATTTCTGCTCAAATTCACTTACCCACAGTTATTTTTTTAAACTTTAGGTTATTTTTGCTTAAGAGTTCACTGATTACTTCACACGACCAGTGTGTAAAAAATTCGAAAATTAAAAAAAAGAAAAAAAATTACAGATACACGAGTTTCTCCGCCAGGGAACTCTCCTCACGAGAGATCGTTCACCTCCTGCCCGCCGGGAGAGCCGCGGCGTGCTTGCCAGCGCGAAACGCGCACTGACACCTTCAAACCTAAAGGAATACTTCACGCATTGCGCAATGCTTGAAGTATCCCTTTAGGTTTGTAGGCGTCAGTGCGCGTTTCGAGTTGGTAAGCACTCCGTGCCATAAACTTGCCCACAATTAATAGGTCAGGGTGTTTAAATGTAGGCAATTTGACATCAAATTCGAAATCAGCGACTCAAAAAACATCATTCACGAATCTTACGTGATCTTTCAGTTATTATCCGACCTATTTCTTCCTATTCTTGAGTTTTGGACTATACTGCGCCGCGGGAGGCGGCGCTCATGAAATTCTCCCCTGTGCTCAATTGTTGAACCGGTAGGACCACCATGAGCAAAAGAAAAACTATTTTTATCTGAGATCCTTGCTTGTTACCGAACCAAAGTAGGTTTATTATAAAGAGTCACCTTCCGAACTTGATTCATTTGTCCGTTTTAGGCATTTAAAACGAGTTTAGAGCAAGACCTTCGCAAAAATCAAGAGGACAAGTTCAAGTAAAATTTCCTTTTGCCGCTATGGGTCCCCGCGCTTATTTACACACTCACACAGACGCACAGCGCCGTGGCTACATCGCTTCTCCCCCGTGTTAGTAGATACGAGTGCTCCGTCTTCACGTCTTTGTTCAAGATACTAGTGGAGGGTCTTTTGTCTCTGCCCAAAACGACCCATGACTTAATCTCAAAATTATCGACATGTCCATGCTCTTCCCATTTCGGTGCTCTAGTTGGAATGAGCGAGGTCGTTTCTTCTCCGAGCGCCTAGACTTACATCTACATCCTACTGCCGAGATGTCCGAGTGGCCTGCCAACGGCCACAGTGCAATATCGCAAGCTCTTCCACACTCTCACGGGTGGTTGACGCATGGAGGACATCCGCCTGAGGCTGCCGCGGCCGGCTGGGCGGTTGGGTGGCGCCTGCATCGGCGGCGGATACTCCACAACCCAGTGGCATTCTCCTTCAACGCACCCGCTACCCACGACGTTTAGACACGGGCTCCGCTCCGCCATTGGGAGTTCCTTGAAGGCAGCCATTGCAAACCGACAATCAAGAGACCCTTGTCGGTTCACGTGTTGCCGGGTTTCGGTCCGACACCAGGGTCTTGGCTCATATGCGCACTGGTCATTCCGTAGCACCTCTGAAATGAAGTTCCTACGGTCTGTAAATTCATCCTGGAATTATCAAATACAGAGACGATATAATGTGAGACGAGAAGAAACGACGGAGTGGTCAGAAGACCTGATGATGGGATACTCACAATCAGATCTCGAAATGGCCATCGTCATTTGAAGAGGAAAGTAAGCAGGAGATCAGGAAGAAAAGGTGAAACAAAATATTTGTTGTATCAAATACGGATACATGAATGTTCTGCGTCCTAAGAGACTGTCGATGAACTACGTAACGCTGGTTCAGACACCGCTAAAATGATGGGGCAGTTGCGCTGATCACGGAATCGTGTTTTCATCCTTGATTCTTGTAGATTAGCTACAAATAATAAGAACTATCCAAACAACAACTTTCTACGTTCAATATTAACCGAAATGTCTCCCTTTGAAAAGTCGGGTTTTTGACGTCATCCACGCGGTAGTGCGACCCTTATTGGTTTCTTCCAGCTCGCCTTCATGAGTTGGCGTGACGCACATTTCCACTGGCTTTTCAATGTGAAACTTGGATGAAAGCAAGATGGAAGAAACCAAGGGTGTCATTACCGCGGTGAATGACGTTAAAAACCCGACTTTTCCAAGGGCGCGATATCTCGGCTAATATTGAACGTGAAAAGTTGCTGTTTGGACGGCTCCTATTATTTTAAACTCATGTACAAGAATTAAGAATCAAAACACAATTCTGTGACCAGCGCAAATGACTAATTAAATATCATTTACCTCGGTGCCCCCTTCTTCACACACACACACACACCATCTCTCACAAACTCGATTAAAATATTTTTACCAAATAAAGGAGGAGGGCACAGTGCCTGTTACATAGAATGCTCTGCGTTTCAAGAAATAAAAAAAGTCAGACAAAGAAACTAGCATATTAATTAAAACAAGTTACAATCCGGTGTACAAACTGTGAAGCGACGCTAAAACTTGACACCCCCCCCACCCCTTGTCGTGCTCGGTAAAAAAATTATACAGACCCACTCACTGGTTAAAAATAAATGTTCTTGGGAATATCCCATAAGGAAAGTACAATAGATCACTAAATAATCAAAGATTTTTGACTCGGAATTACATTTTTCTGTCGGTAAATAACGCGTAGATCACGATGGGCACACTAAAATGAGTATTATATACGCGGTTCGAAAAGTGCAACTTTTCCACGAATTTAAAGCGCCGATTAAAGACGGTTTCGCGCCGAACCGAATGATGTCATCCGGCATCAATCAGAATTGACCGCGAGTCCCAATGACTTCCGTCAAATGTTTTTCTAGTACTCGTGTATGAAAACAACTTGAAAGTTTAAAGCAAATTGTATACTTTTCGAATCAAAGAATCGAATCGCATTCACGTTGTCTGCGGTAAACAAGAAAAAAAAATCCATATTAAAATACGTGTTATTTAAACAAAAATCTGTGGAAAATGAGAGGAGATAGCGAATAAAGAGCGCTTAAAATTCCTTTGTGTCTCTGGACGTTTTAAGCGAGGACTTCGGTGTCGGTCTGGCTCGAAAATTCTTGGGGTGCTGTCTGCTGATATGTTTTAGGGGTCCCTCTTCTGGAAAGGAGCTCTCTGATAACTAACGAAAAGTCTTCTTTTAAGTAGGATTTTTAAGTTTTGGGGGCCCTTACAGAAGTCCTGCCAGGGTCCACTGAGCTACCAGTGTGGCTTCAAAAATACGTACTTTGTAACTTATTAAAAATAAAAATATAAATGCAAGGTTTAACGATCCCTTGTACAGTACACCCNTTTATGTGGAATTTTCTTCTCTGTAATGTCCCACGGATGTTCTTTGATGGAACATTCCCAGAATATTCCTAGAATATTCCTAATGTTCTGAACTTGTTTCATTCACACTTTCTCAGAATGTTCTGAGAATATTCCGAGAACATTCTCAGAATATTCTGAGAATGTTCTGGATTTATCAATGAATGTCCTCAGAATATTCTCTGAATATTCCTGTGCTATCTGGGACACCGGATTATCCAAACTGATATAGCGCACGCGGTCGGATCGTTCAAATAATCAAAAGTTCGGATTGTCTGGTGATCATCCAAAACTTCATGAGTTGGATAAAAATTAAATGTGAGTGCTTTTAAAACTTTTAATGTGAAGCATGTAGTCGCGTGTGTGTGCAAACACTGATTTGAAATTTAAATGTGCAATTGTTGAAGATTTTAAGTCAATTTTATTCAAGACCCGGCATAGATTTCACAAAATTAATAAAATGTCACCATTAAAACTCAAAGACCACAGGATTCCAAGTCAGTCAAGTATAACTGACAGAAAAAAATGCCTAGTCAATTACGAGGTGACATGACAAGTCGTGATGCATTGCATTCATGCAAAATACTCAATATAGTTATCATTCCCAGATAGTACTCCAAGATTAATGTTAGTTTTCTCGCTCTGGCTAAATATTGGTTTGATCTTCACCGAAAGAATAGTCAAGTTTGTTTTAACTGCTGAAAAAATTAAATTGAGTGTATTTTTTTTCTATTTTTTCCAAAAATTTTTTAAGTCAAAGAGATTTATTTTTCACCGAGAAACAAATTGAGTTCAAAAATATTGTCTTGAACCAAAGAAAGTTTTTCTCACGTCGAAGAAAATGTATTTTTTTATTGATGATAGAAGACAAAGTAACATATCTTTTCATTGAAAAAACTTCACTTAATTTGGAAAAGAGAATCATTTACCCCGAGAAGAAATATCGCTCCGTTAATTTGAATTTCTCTTTTAATGAAAAAAAAAAAAAAAATCGAATAACTTTTTGTTTTTCAATCAGAGACAATATTTTAAACTTGAAAACTGTTGAGCAATTTTTCTAGTAATTAAGCAAATATGTAATGCATTTTGAGCAAATTTTAGTCTACTGTCTAGATATTCTTATCTTTTATCTTAACTGAAGTAGTTGGTTTATTGATGAAATGTGAATGAAAAATAATATTTTACCTGCGGAAGTGGACCGGGAGGACCAGGGGGGCGCATAGCTTGTACCTGCAGCATGGAATCGAGAACATAACCAGCGCGAAAGACTATGAAAATCAGCAAGAGGAACGGTCTCTCCATCGTTGGTCTGCGGTGCTGTGGACCAAAGACTAAGTCTGACCAACTATTCCACAGGGAATACACCGGATCAGCCACTGCAGAGCATATAAGGCAACGAGTCCTACAAAAAGGTGTGAACGTAGGCGCCAAGTGCTCGGAGCATCATGCGCAGTTCATCAACAAGCAAAATTCAAAGGGGAATTCTGCCATGCTAGGTAAAAACGTCATATGAACCTTTAGGCGTTGCCAAATTTCCTTTGGTAAATCTTGAAGTATCGGGAAACTTTGTGAATATTTATCCTCTTAGTTTCCAGATAATTTTGTACGCAATTTCACCTAAAGTTCCTGAAAATTGCAAGGAAAAATATTTTTAACTTTCTTCAAAAATAACTATTTTCTGAGAGGAAATTTGGCAATTCTCGAATGTTCATAAGGTTTTTTTCCTCAGCACGGGAGAACAGTGGACGAAAGAGCACGTGCCAGAGATGGAAACGGAGACACGCAGACGCAGAGGATGGATTAAAAGTAAAAAGGGAGATTATGATGACATTTGGTTATTTTGGAGTCCCCAAGCCATCTATATGAGAGGAGATGGGAACAAATGCTGAAAATATTCCAACTACCGTTGAAAAACACTCTTAAACTCTGCAGCTCCTATTAATTGTTTCTTTTTTTAAACTTTGTAAGCTCTTGCCAAAGCGCAAGATTACTTGTTTTCCAGTTATATCGTGTGGTGCATGTAAAAATTGGTTTTTTCCAGGAATATTGCGATGACGGTTTACCGTCAACGAATCTGCGTTGAATTGAGCTTATTTTTAGGACTGTTCGCTTTGAAAAGCACCGGCGCACAATGGATCGAGTCAATAGGAGAGGTCGGACAAAGTTTGGGAACTTTAAACGCCAATAACTCCGTTAATACACAATTTAGAGGTTCTAAAAGTGGTTTTATTTCTTTCCTCTTGAAATTTCAATCTAGAGGCACCCTTAAAGTCTAAAATGTGACGAAATGAACATCGAAATTTGCAGGTTTAGTCAAAAATTGCATGTCTGACCACTCTAATTGACTCAATCCACTGTGCGGCGTTCGATGGAAAATGAATTGATATGACGCAATTGTGTCAGTTGACACATTTTTGTCCCCACTAGGTTGAACATATTTTCAAAATAATTTTAGAATTTTGTGAACTTTTTAACATACTTTTTACAATAATATTAAAATTCTTTAAGAATGTTTTAATGTACTTCAAAAAATATTTTAAAAAATGACGCATCATATATACTAATCTCCTGCAAATTTGCCCTTTCTAAAATAATTGTTTAAATATATATAAAACTAAATTGGAAATATAAAAAAAACAGTTATAGTTATTTAATTTAAGTTGAGTCATTCATTATCTGAGGCTTTTAATTGATGTACAAAAAATATGAAGCGTGAGTGTTTATACAAAAATGTAATTTCTTAACTTAACGGAAGCAAAAAATGTCAAAATTTTATTTGGGACATTGTGATCATCGCAGGTCAGTGGGTTGGTATCCCTGTTGACTGTTGGAGAGTAAATCTGTGAGCGAAGATCTATGAAGGGAGAGCAGCGCATATACGTATTTTTGCATTGCTTTAAAATCGTTCTCATATTGTTTGTCCCAACTAAAATTTGTTCGATGATTCCACGCGAAACCGAAAGTGACCGTTATCATATGATGTTTTGTAGGTTCTTTCTAGTATCAAAGCAATTCGAAAACTGAGGAAAAAAGATTATCGATAAGAGATAGATATTCCTTTGTTTATATTAATTTGAAGAATCTAGTCACATGATAGCGGCTACGGCAAGTCTCGCATGGAGTCCTTACATCGAGATGAATAATGCAAAGTCAGTTCAATTTTTGCCGCGGCATACTCGTCAAAGCTACAATACATATAGCACAAATTGCGAATTCCTTGAGCAAATCGTGCGGTTGACGGCCAACTCCAGATTCCGCAAATGTGTGCTTATCGTGATTTTTCATTGGTCTGTATGTAAGAAACTACCCTCCTTTTAACACTAGCCATCATTTGAGACAGTTCTATACATTATAAAATTGAAGGCTTAGATACACACGGCGATTAATCGCCGGGAGTGAAAGACGGAAGCCAATGGAGAGCCTTGATTTCGATCCATTGACGTCGATATATCGAAATGAAGGCTCTCTATTGGCTTTCGTCTTTCAATCGCGGCGATTAATCGCCGTGTGTGTCTAGGCCTTGAGAAGCCCACGCGCTACGCGCTACGTGAGCAGGAGAATTCCAAACGCCTTCACTTTTGAGTTTATGCAACAAGGACATCCTAAGAACACGAATAGTTGCATTCAAGGGTTACCATTAAACCCGCGCTGCGTCCAGTTAAGGGCCGCTCCGATGTTACGAGGGGCATTTTGACCAACTGTTGACCTTTATCCCTTATAAGGCATTCCTCACTCCTTCCTCAGAACTACGTAAGCCTGGCTTGACCCCTCACCCCCCCCCCCCNATTATCAAACAGAAACGGAGGAAGTCAGTAAAGTAGCTAGTTTTCTATTTATTTATTTTTTCAAAATAACACTTTCAAACAAAGAGTAACTTTATTACCACTTACCCCGGTAAGACTCGGCCAGGTGAGCTTAGGCCCTCCTTCCCCTCCCCCAGCGGCTTACGTAATATTTAAACGGCTTACAAGGTTTCATCATACCATCACAAATTCTGAGTGAGAGATGGTGGTTTTACAAATAGTAAGAAGAAACTACGGCTTCCCAAATGGGGTAGGCAAGAGGCTGTCAAAGCTTCGAACACGATTTAATTTACTCTAAACTTACGTATTGAAAGTAAATCATTAATATAAACTTCGAAGGATTCAGACTTTCAGCGATTCTACCTTTTTCTATTTCACTCGAGAGGTTACCAGACTGTGCGATAAATGTGAATATTTTACATGGATATGCATTGGGAAAAGTGCTAAAAAAGCAATTTATCTGGCAACAATAGAGTCCGGGAGGGACGAGAGGCTGCCTTCCTGGGAAAACCCATGATTAAGCCTGAAATGTCATTAAAACAATTGATTCCGTTTGAAGCATCAATTGTATACTAGGGGAAAGCTATTTTAAAGCAATAACTGTAAATGGACACAGATGCTACAGAGAGGGAAAAAGGAAAGGGAAAGGGAAAGGAAATGAGGATATAATTACTAATATGCAATCAGAGAGAATAAAATAAAAACATCAGAGAAATTTATATGCGATGAAAGTATAAGAAAAAAACACGAGTGGGCTCATTGCAATTCGGAACTCGAACTATACAATCGTTGAGCAGTTTTTAGACCCCTACGCCACCGATAATCTTCTTAAGAGGTAAAGATGAACTTTTGCTACTGCAGCAAGTCAAATCGCGGAAGGAGATCCATGGATTGTCTTTTTCCGCCACCCGATGGGATGACGTTCCGGTCAAATGCGTTTTTGAAGAGATGATCAATCCGAATCATCGCTTCATCTCCACACATCTATTCATGTGCAAATGATGACACGCTCCGGCAACAAGGTTCTGTCACGAAATCATGTTTTCCTCCAGAGTCTTCAAAATGTATACATCTTAGTGATCAAATGTCCAATCACTGAGAAAAATGGCTCGCGGAGCGAGCCGAATGTCACTTGCGTAGCGAGTGATCGGGGGTCCAGGGGGCGCAGCCCCTTGGCTGGCCGTTCTGGACGCGCAAAGACGCGCAAAGCGCGTCCAGAACGGCTAGTATAATTTAAGTATGTCCACAGTCAACTTTTAGATTCGAAGAATATTAGACCGTAGCCCTTTCCCTCTTTTCCAGTCACGAAGTATGAGGTATTAGCTAGGTGAGATTGCATGCGTTAATTAATGTTACTCGATATTGCGTTATATGCTAAAATTAGGTACTTGGCTGCAATTTCGAAATATCGCTAGTTGTTCGAAATGAGGATTGTCATGAGGGTTGATGTTAGTTAATAAGGATTAGACAGAAATGCGCAAGCAGAGATAAAAGTAGGTATGACGTATATATGTGTATTCAAATTTGGAGGCCAGATATATGTTGAATTGATGTACCTATACTTATTCGGGTGAATTTTTTGTGTGATGTTTTTCGGTTCTTTAAAAGTACCTCTGGCGAAGTTTTTCATCCAAAACTTATTTGTACGCAAAAAAAAGTTTCTTGAAACAGATAAGCGTAAGCATCGATAGAATAAAACTTTGTTATTACAAGGGCCAGAAGGGCCTATTGATCACAAGCGATCGGATTTTTTCTGAGGGGAGGGAGGGGGGGCTTCGGCCTCGCCACCTGGATAACTGGACTGAGTTAAGCAGAAAGGAACCAACCCACATTTTGGAAAAAATTGAGCTATAAATGGTTTTGAACTCGATCACTGCTCAGTACTAACTATCGCCAAAAATTCAAAGTTTTTGTTGGAGTAAATTTTGCAGAAATTGAACTTGGAGTTTATCTTTTACATTGAGTCTCATGCAGGACCCAAACTTTAAACCTCTTTTTCTCGGTTCGATCCCGATGTGGCTTGGTTCCTTTCTGTTTAACTCCGGTCAACTAAGCTCCAACGTTCAAAGAGGAGGAATAGTCGAACGGCGCTCACAAGTTTCTTCTTTCATTTTCAACGATTTTTTTTCGTACAGTTTCATTTAATTTTCCGGGGGCAAAAATATCACTGATAGGCTTCGAGGAGGAATAAGAACTGCCAATATGGTTTCTATTCGCAAATAAATTGTACGTCTCAAAAAAGGAGGACGGCTTATGGGTGAAATAACTTTCTCTTTGCGTTTCTAAAGTGACAATTTTTTTTTTAGTCCAAAAATATGTACGCTCACATTTGCCACCACATCTGAAGCATTTTTGGTGTGATTTAATTTAAGGGTTTTGAAAATATAAACCACAAAGAACTTTTTTTGAAAAAATATAGAACTCATATTACCTTGGCGGGTTGATCGCTTACAGGTAATCAATACGTAAATCAATTTTTTTCAAATCCTGTACGAACGTTGAAGACCAAACGCAGATGAGATGCTGATGGTTTAAACAATGGAAGCTTCGACGTGGTACAACATTGACGTCAATGCACTGGTCCAAGCTAGTGCAAGAAAATTCCATTTCCATTGAGTTCTATTTTTACGTAGCAAAAAAAGGTAATACGTGTCACGATTTTGGTTCGTGCTTAATCGCATCCAGAGAATTTTCACATTATAGGAACATGTGAATCACGTAAAACCACGGGAAAGAAATCAAATTTGTTCAAAATCCAAGCCTGCTTACCTGGTTTGTAACACACTATTTCACATTCCCCGCGTCCGCAGGCAGCTTGGTCCATTCGCCGGCGACAAGGTTTGCACAGAGAGAGGAATGAGAAAATCTGATTTGAATAAACAAACAATTTCGCAAACTTTTTCGAGTGCGGATTTTAATCGTTTTCAAGCTTTTATTTTCTTCTTATTTTTTTGTTTTGCAAAAAATAGTCCTGAATGTATTAAAATTCTTTGTGGAGAATATTTTTAACAGTTCACGGGATCACGGGATTGTTTGTTAATTCATGTTAGGTTTTCTCAAGTATCTCTGTGGACAAACCTAAGAAAAACTGCCCGCAAACGCGGCATTTTGAAAAAAAAAAGTAACAAATTACGCAAATCGCACGCTTAGGATTGGAATTCAGACATATGATGTGCCCGATGTGTTTTTCGAGCGATTTCACGTATGAAGAGTATTCATTTGGCTGTAACTCTCACTATGTATATCAGATAATTATGAAAGAACAATAAACACATGCTCTTCGGACGTAAGGAGCATCTGAGCACCTTAAGCAAGGGTGCATAGCTGTCCTCTTGAGGTGGGTTGCGTTGTAAGAATGGAATGGACTGTAGTCCTTTTTAAATTAATACATGTAATTGACCGTTCACAGGAAATATGTCTAGATGCCCGACGAAGAAATTTACATCCGTATATTTTTTTTAAAAATGGCTCGCGAAATCATAGACGGTTTATAAACGAGAATGAAGTTCTGCGGTGAGGAGTATCATGCAAGTTTTCTAAATTAAATCTTGATTTTCTTGATTTCAGATTTACCGTCTCCATCGTGCACGCTGATCAAATATTCAAACTGGGAGGAAATCCGGCACTCAGATTTGGGAATCTGGACTCACCTGGATTTCACTCCCGCTGTAGTGACTCGAATGAGGTAAATTTTACTGTCGCGTTTATTTTCATTGTTTCCTCTCCACCAAATCAGATTTTCTTTTTATTTCATTTTTAATGCGTGAGAAATTGTCTCGTGACATCAAAATTACGTGTATAAGGTTGTTATGTTAATGCTTGCTTGTTACTGCCAGCCTAACTCATGAGTATAGGAACACTATGAGTAATCAGAAAGTGTTATACCTGTCCCTGGCGAATACGGAAGAACGCAAGGACTGATCATTAACATATTAACTCAAATGAATATTTTCGTATAATGAGAGTTGATATGGTTGATCGATATTGATGATGAGATTTCAAAACGAATCAATTGAGGTACAATTTTATGCATTTACCCATCAGATCTAAGATCCAAGTCTCTCAGATCTAATATAATCTTGTTCTATTTTGGTGAAGATTTCGGATTCCTCGAGGGCGCGGAGTCAGGACCCTGGTTTGACTTGAAAGTGTCAACTCGAAAAATACAAAAGATGATACGATAGTGTAGAATTCCAAGTATGAGACTCGTCACCTTCTGCTCAAGCTGATTCATAGGAAAGCCACGGTAACGCAACGGGATGTTGAGAAAATACCTTCGTCCCTTTCATCCGGTCTGTATGTAATCATGGCTTCAACCGAAAACATCGTTGTACACGTAATAGCGTAATTTCATCTTGAGATAAGCCTTGACGTTGGGAAAACTGCGTGTCCTCTGGGTTCCACGTCAAAATTAAGATACGCTCTCCCTTACGCCTGAAGAACCTGAACACGACAAAGTTGCGCCCGATTTTGCCGTAATGCCGTGCTAAAATAGATTGCCGTATGAACATTCAAGAGTTGCCAAATTTCCTTTGATGAAATGTTCATTTTTTAGGAAAGTAATGGAAATTTTTCCTTGAAATTTTTAGGAACTTTAGATGAAGCTACAAACAGAATTCACTGAAAAATCGGAAGAAAAAATATGCATGAGTTTATTAGGAAATGCGTGTTGTAGCAAATAAAATTTGGCAACACCTGAAGGTTCATACGTCTTTCGAGGGCGAGGAATACTCTTGGCTTTTTCGGTGTTACGTGATCCATTATTATATTAAGCACTGTTGGTCTCAAGTAGTCCCCTCTACTTTAATCAAACGATGAACGCTAGAGAAAGAAGACCAAATTCATTTTGGTAAGATCCGTGCAGGCTGTTTACCCTCGAACCTTGCACTACTTGGACGACGAATTCAACCAGAGTTGAGATGCTTTTTAGCTGGGTCCTAAAAGACACTTCAAGGTTGTTGTGGCGTTGCAGAATCTCCGCTGCTAAATTGAATTTTATATAGGGTACTAATTTATGCTTTTTTCCGGAATTTCATTTTCAAAGATTGTAAAATTGCAACGAATGTATTTTGTAAAAAATTCTACCAAGTATGGGAGTGTGCCTCCCTGAAAATGGGTGCGGAACGTCACTAGAAATTCCAAAACACCAGAATCGACGAATGCCATCCCACCCGCCCGGCACCGAACGTTGCAAAACGTTGCTGCAACGTACTACAATAACGTTTTTGTTTACGTTGATTTGCAACGTTAGAAACAACGTTGTACAAACAGCAGTCGAACGTTTTATGCTGACGTTTACATGTAACGTGTAAAACACGTTATAAACAACGTTTTATGAACGTTGTTATCAAACGTAATCATAAAAGTTCTCTGAAAACGTGTTGGCAATGTTTCAATTGAACGTTGTAATAATGTTTGGGGAAAAATGACGTTTTTCGTCGAAGTTCGCATACATGGGGGGGGGGGGGGGGTGAGTAACATGTTGAACACCGAAATTTCACTTCATTCTTATCGCAACGACTGAAAAGTTTTCCGGATGTGAAAAACTTAAATTAAAGACGCAGAAATAATCGAGTTTTTTTTCACGCCCCCCCCCTCACATTTAAGGTAAAAATTTTTGGCTGGCTTCATCGCACTAAAACGGTGGAAAGGTTTACGACAAATCTGCGTATGATAACGAGTTTACGCCCACACAAGCCCAAGCAAGTTGCATTTTAAAATGCGCGCGCTACAATTCGGATTTTATTTAACCTACAGGTTGTGCACGAAGACCACTTCCCTCGACGGGTTGAGTTAAGGACTTCCGGTCGCGTGATTTTTTTTTCTCCTACATGCATAACGTATCACTATGAGGGTTCTTCCATTTGAAAAAAAAATTGAGTCTAAATCCCCCCCCCCCCCCCCCCCCCCCCCGAAAATTTTAGCGAGCCGAAAAGTTGGTCCTCTTAAGAACATCTTTCAAGTTTCAAAATTTTACATCATTCAAGTAAAAACTTAGAGGGGGGGGGGGGGGTAATATGCGGACATCCCGTATGATTTGAAGAATTACATCTTCGCGAGTGTATATCTTCGCTAATTATTAATTCAAAAGTGAACCGTGAAGTGCATCCAAGTGAAAGTGACATATGTGTTTTTCTTAATTTTGTTGGCTAACATTCAACCACCCTTTATAGCTTTTCTGGAGTCTGCGTTTCGGCGAACTTTCATTCGGTACGTTATTCGTCTTTGCCGCGTTTTGGATGAAAGAAAAACCATGTAGTTGTACCAACCTATGCACAACGGCACAACATCGTAAACAAAGAACCTGACGGCAATTTGGTCGCGCGTTCCGAGCCTTGGCAAAAATGAAATGATAATAAACTCGGTCTGGCACGTATTATAGAAGGTAAATAACTGAGTTGTTTTTTTATGGAAAGATCTTCCTTCAGGCCGGCGCGAATCGTGAGGTTGACTTTGTTGTGATTTTACCCTAATGATGTGAGGTTGGTACAACTGCATGGCTCTTCCACGCTTCCAAGATAACCTCTCCACCTCAGTCCTCGCTCCTCGTTGCTCGTTGCTTGAGCCTAATCGTCCGTGTTCGTATTGCATTGCGGTTGTGCCACCTGTGTAAGTGACTATTACTTATATTGACTGTTAATTTTCTCATCTAACGTAATTCAATGTCTGACAATCGTTCGAGATCTAGCAGCAGTAGTGATGGCGAGAATGATACACCTGTTGTTTCGAAAAAGAGGCGCGGTCGCCCGCGAAAAAGTTGGGACGCCATGAGTAGGTCCACTCTCTATCGACGACTAAGAGAGCAAGAACAATCTTTGTTAAGTTCCACTAGTGCTCAATCAGTGCATGCAGGACCTTCTGATGAAGTTGCTTTGCCAGAAGAGTTTGATGCAAGTGTATGTCAGTCCCAGCCTGATTGTGAGATGGTCAGTGCATGTGAGGTTCCAGATGCTGATGTGTGCCAGGTTCCGATTGTTGATGATGACTGCGTAAGTGTATCGGAGAGCTTTAATTTTCATTGGGAAGGAGATGTGAACTTTGATGCTGTGAGGTGTGTCGAAAAGGATGCTGACTGTTTGGACCCATTCCTTAACTTGACATTTGAGGAGTTAATGGCACTGGAAGATTCACTGTCTGAGGAGGAAGATGATTGTAACTTGTTTGGTGATGATTCTAGTACAGAGTCTGAGGAGAGTGCCCAGCAGACTTTAGAGGTAAAACTTGCTATTTGGAGGTCTAGCCATAACATCACTAGAACGGCTATGACGGAATTGTTGCATATCCTTGCTGAGCATCAACCAGTTGAGGATTTTAGTAAACTACCCAGAGACAGTAGAACTATCACACGTCACACATCCTTTGTCGATGTTGATGGTTTTCAAACTGTCAACAGATGTGCTGGTGGCACTTTGGTACATTTAGGGATTGAGGATCAGAGTAAGCGTCTTCTAAGCCACGTTAAAGAACCCGTGAGGGAAGTTATCTATGAGGTCTCAACAGACGGATTAAGTTTGTGGAGGAGCTCACCAAATTCCGTGTGGCCATGGATGGCGAGAATCGTTTCAGTCCCATCTATCAAAAATCTTGTGTTTTTAATCTCTTGTTGGTTTGGTGAGCGCTCTAAGCCAACCAGTGGAAATATTTTCACCGATAAACTTGTCGAGGAGCTTTCACTTCTGCTTGAGAATGGAATGATTGTTAATGGCGAACACAAGCCAGTGTTCCTCAGGTGCAATGTTGCTGATGCTCCTGCCAAGTGTCTTATACTTGAGATTGTTTACTTTAATGGATATAGCTCTTGTACAAAATGCAATGTCTTTGGTAGTTGGAATGGTAGGACATTCTATCCACTTTGTCAGTGTGAAACGGCAGTGCGAAGAACTCACTTGGATTATGTTAATGCTATCGACTCAAAACATCATAATGAGACTCCTAAGTTGGCCCATCTGGCAGGTTTTGATATTGTCAACCAAGTGCCCCTTGACCCTATGCATTTGCTCTACCGGGGCATCACCAAATCACTTTTAGGACTGTGGACAGCAGGAGAGTTGCCATATAAACTGTCAGCAGGTCACTGTGAATCTATTTCAGCCCATCTCCTAGAGTGTCGAAAGTATGTACCCTCTGACTTTCAACGAAAACCCAGGGCTTTGATTAATCTTCCCTTCTTCAAAGCTACGGAGTATAGACTCTTTTCTTTGTATATTGGTCCAGTCTGTGTGAAGAGGGAACTTGATCGCTCCCGGTACATTAATTTCTTGTGTTATCACGTTGCCATTAGGATTTTAGCCAGTCCTCATCTTTGTAAACAAGACGAATTTTTAAATTATGCTGAAAAGTTGCTTTTCACATTCCTTCAGCAATTCTGCAAATTGTACGATGAAAAGTTCTTAACTCATAACTTTCATGGCGTTTATCCTAAACATTTAGTGGAAGATGTCCGGAGGTTAGGGCCATTGGAGAGTTTTTGCAGTTTCCCATATGACAACTTCTTACGCCATCTGAAGGAAAAAATTAGGAAAGGAGAGCAAGCGCTTCAGCAGATAGTTAATCGTTATATTGAGGATGCTGTTCTGGCAATTAAACAAGAATCTGTGAACTCATCTGCTCCTCAATTTGATGGTCCTCATCAAAATGGGCCGCTGCTGTCATGTTGCTCATGCCCGCAGTACACCACTGTTCGCTTCAAGAACTTTAAACTCAGAACCAAAATAGAGTCTGAATCATTTTGTCTCCTCAAAAGCAAAGAAGTAGTGTCAGTTGCAAATATTTGCTGGTGTAATGACCGAGAATGCATGGTAATAGTTGGACGCCAATTTCTCCAAGCTAGAGACTTTTTCGATGTCCCATGTAAAAGTTCCCTGATTGATATCTCAAGAGTCTCACCCTCAAAACTTTCCTCTCTGTCAGTATGGGCTGTAACTGATGTATTGAGTAAGATGATGGCTGTACCATATGAGTCTGATTTTGTAATGTACCCCCTGCTTCACTGCGAAATTTGAGTATTACCATTTGATAAGTATACCTCTTGTTTATTTTGGATGAAATGAAATCTAAGTGATTAATATTTTCAAGTAATGTAAGGAATCGATCTCATCACTAAAAATCATTCCTGTGGAGCTACTTACATATCGACCATGAAAGTGCAAAAACAAGTATCTAGTCTGTATTATAGTGCCTCAAAATCTCTGCTGTTTTTTTAAAGGAAATAAAGGAGCATAAATGCTTCAAATTTTTACGGAGTGTTCTCTGTTCAGTGTAGACAAATCAGTTGAAACACCTGTAAGAATTTTTGGTTAATTTATCAATAAGAGTATGAAGCGGCACAAGAAATCTGCGACAACACAAGTTGAGATATGTTTTTGTGAACTTTCATTTGCGATGTCCATTCCGTAGACTCCTTTTTTTGGCTTTTATAACTAGAATTTTGGTAAATTTTTGTCTATATATCCTTGATAAGTCTGAATTACTTAATGTTCATTAATGGCCATTACGATCTATGAGAATTGTTCATGTAATGATCGAGTATGAAAATGCCTTCTAAATTTGAGTCACCTATGTTGCTATTAAAATTTGCTCTGTTTTTCTTGTCCATATAATCGTATAGGCATTTCATAATTTTTGTTACAGCTCCTTATTACTTACTGTCACCTTCTGTGGAAAAAAAAATTGAATAACTTTTTATTGATGAATGATAAGGCTGACTAAATTTTCTGAAAGCTTCAAATTATTTTTCAAAATTCATATCCTCTTTTTTTCCATGCCTCTAAATTGTTTAAGTTTTTGTTTTTATGTTTCATGAAATTAGAGGCATAATAATTTTATCTTTCATTTTGATTCCATTTGCTTTTTTGTGCAAGGCTAATGGAGGATAAATTCAATATTCAGTTTTCTCTGTTGAGAGTTTATGGAAACAGACTAGTCCAGTTGTGGAACTCTGATTTTATTTCATCCATTGATAAAGTCAATATTTTTTTCTTGTTCAAACTGAATGTAACCACTTGATTGTAAGATGATACTTGCATTTAGTAAGTTCTTATTGGGTACCCAATATGTAAAAGACACTCCTCCTTGGATCCTTTTAGGTAGGATTCCAATACGATTTTGTTTCTCAATATGCTTAAAAGTTGATTATTCATGAAATTAAGCAGAATCATATGTACTTTAAATGAGAAATCTGTTTAGGTCTCACAAACTATTTGGGAGGAGCCATCCTCAAAATTTGCTCTTAATTTTAATTTTAAAGTACGGACTGACTTTTATTTTATGCATGATGTTTAGCATGAGTTTTGTCCTTGATTATTTTTCTGATTTTTTAGAATTAACTTAAGGAGCTTAAGTTCTAAGTGTATTTTCTGAGCACTGGATTTCTTTTGTAAATTTGTAGCCCTTCTTTCCAATATGTGGTGTGATGGAGAAAGGGAACGCTCTCTCTGAATCTCTGGTTGCAAATATCCAGTCTCATAATTCTGATGATAATTGATGTTTCCATCCTTTTGGTCTTCTGTAACCAGCAACCATAATGAACATTGATAACAGGATTTATGCTGTTGTCATCTTTCCTCCCGAAAAAGGGTCGACGGAGGAAACTGTCAATGTGGTCCCACAGTCATGGCTACAAAAAGATTGCTGCCTATGGCCAAAGGTCCGAAACCCAAACAGGCTTATTGAGGATTGCCTCCACCCTTCTAAATCCACTTGTGACTGGCAAAAATGCGATGTGAAAGAAATCTGCCGAGAAAACATAGGTTAGTGAAAATACCATAAATATTTCCATTTCAGTTGATTTTCCACTGTCTGTATTTACTTAGTGGGTTGTCATTGGGTAAGGCAGTTGAATCTAATAGAGGGAAATGAGAGAAACTCAAATACGTCAATGGAATCTGGGTTGAAAATACCAGAAATTTCCAATAAATTTTGATCTGATTTTTAATGTTTTTCCTCCCGGAAAAGGTTTAATTTACCATTTTCAATCGTCTTCTTTTATTATACTAAAGCAGATTTTACTCAGGTTTGAGGAAGCTAAATTTCAATTCAAGAATATTTATTCATCAATTAAATTGGTTCAATATTTTGAGAAGCATATCGTTGGCAATCAAGTCTTATGTCAATGTCAGCTTAAGTCTGTAATCAATTCTTCTGGTATGATTTGGCCCTTAAAAAGCAAGTGAAAACTAGTATAATAAACAGCGATTTATAATGCTGGTAAATAATAATCAAAGAACTCAAATATGAGCTTACCTTGAAATTAAATATAAATAAAAAAGACATGTTTTGAGACGGAACAAGCTAAGAAAGAGAGCGTGTCCTTATTTTAATTTAATTTTTATGTAACTATGTGTATGATTTTTTCCAAGTTTTTCCATTATTCTTTATCAATACCTAGTTCCAATGGATTTCTTTTTATTTTTTATACGTATAGTTGCTCAGAAGATATCTGATACGAAAAAATTAAAACTTAAAGACTCTTTCTACTCATTTAAAGCACACTTTTATCTCTCAATTTTTTTCTCGGTGCAAAAAATTATGCAAGTCTGAAATTATTTTCTCTCTTCTTTTGCAGAAGGCTACAAAAAAGCTCGAACAGTCGAATATAATGTTATGGAGGGGAAAGAGGGAAATCTTAGCGAGTTGAGCGATTTGCCTCAAAAACGTCCCACTCATCGAACAGTCGTATTTTCTCCTTCTGCATCACCTGCTTCCAAACAGGCAAGACTTGAAAATGCCAACGATGCAGATAATGAATCTGATGACTCTCCCGTTACAAGATCGAGAAGAGCCTGCAGTTCCGTAATCATGAGCCCTTCATTATCCAACGATGGTTCACCGAGTAAGTCTCAAAATCAGTAGAAGAAGGATTTCCTTTTGATTAACAAGTGATTTCAAATTTGTCTGTTCTCCTGGCAAGAGGATCACTGTTATATATCTAAAAATGTTTTTACCTCCCTTTTCCATAAAAGAGAAAAAAAACTCTGGTAACCATACTTGTTATTGCAGATTCAAAGGAACTATTCAGTTTGCTAATCTCACGTATAGCCAAAATTTTGCAAAAAAATCCTGATTATTCAATATCTTTGTTTATATTTATTTTATTATTCCTCATTTTTTTTTTTTTTATTTGGCGAGGGCAACTGCAACATGAAGTATTTTAGCATTCTTGTTTCCTGCTATCTCTGGTCATCATAATAATTCTTCATATTTCCTTTTTTCAGATCAAAGCTTACAATTACCCACTCCACCCACCAAACAGCCGTCACCTGTTAAGAGGCCAAAACCTGTACGGAAAAACCTGTTCTGTAAGTACTTATTAAGCAACTAATATTCTTGCTGTTCTTGATGCTCCTTTTATTGCAATGCCATACTTCGGAGATAGCCCTAGCACAATTGTAGATTACTGAACTCTTTCCGCCAATTGTCTGTCTTAAAAAAAAGAATAAAAAAAAAGTTTATCGTCCACACGAAAACTGCCCACAAATACTTGGAAGAGTGAATACACAAAACGATCCTGGTGGCTAATTTCCTATAATGAAACATATATGCTTGATGATGTACACTTAATTGCTAGGCCTCGTCTCTCTTTTCTCTCTGCTTTCATTTCAAAACTTAATGGCAATTTTTGATAGGTTTCAATGCCCGAGTCTCTGAGGAGCAGAAGTATTAAGCACTCCTTTCATTGAAGTACCCATATCTTCAGCATCCCAAAGGATGTTAATTGTACAAGGAGAGTAGTACAGCTTCTGAAAAAATATGTGCTTAAGTTTGTGTAGTTTTTACAAGTAAGAAAATAAACAAAGTATTGATGAATTTTCTAATTTTTTCTACACGACAACTCACTTGCAGTTGATTTCAGTCAGTTAAGACAATTTGAAATATTTATATATTTTTTTCGTTCATAGCAGGTAAAACATCCAAAATCTCTAATGGAAGCACGGTTAAAAATACTTCCAGAAGCACTGTTAATGAACTTGTTCGCACTAACAGAGAAGACAATGATGAACATACCCACAGTAACAGAGAAGACAATGATGACCGCACCCACAGTAACAAAGAAGACAATGATGACCGTACCCTTAACAACAGTACTGCAAGCCTTAACAACAGTACTGCAAGCCTTAACAACAATACTGCAAGCCTTAACAACAGTACTGCAAGCCTTAACAACAGTACTGCAAGCCATAAGAACAATACTGAACCACTGGTCCATCCGAGTTCTTCCAATGAAGCTTTAGCGCTTGATTTTCGCAGCATTCTCTCACCCGCATCTAACAATAAGTCGTCTGGGAAATTCCTTGCTCAGTGGGAAAAAATGAGTCCCTCTCAAAAAGAAGCATTTATCGCTGGTAATTTTTTACTATTTCTACTGTTCAAGAATTCTCCATCATTCCATGTTATCGGCTTCCTTGTACGATTTTATTTTATCGTCAACAGTGATAAGAAAATTATGTGAAATGCTCGAACAATATAACTGGGGCAAGTAGTGAGTTTTAAGATTTGTCAAAAACTCCTTACATGAATGGACTAAGTTCAACAGAAACCCATTCAGTTTCATTTTAGAAAGAAATTAGCTTGACGTAGTCTTGAATTCAACCAGTTGAAAATATTCTCCTGTAAAAAATTCTAAATCTAAAGGAAAATTTTCTTTAAAATAGGCATCAAACTTTTTCTTTAAGATTGAGTCTTCGGGAAGAATGAAATTTTTTAAAAATCTCTTTTTTTTCAGTTAAGTATATTTTGCTACAACCTGGTATACATGGATTTTAAGCAGCAATTTCAAAATATTTTTACTTAACATCTACATTTTTATCGGTTTTAAAATTAGCAGTTAAAAGAAATTATGTACTCTGATCTTAAAGGAGCTCTTCCCATAAATTAAAGCATATCATCCTTATGGAGACGAAGTTTTGAGAAGTAAATGAAACTTTATAAAATTCTACGCCAATTTTTACAGTTATAAGAGCACCGTTAAAAGATGTCTCTCCTCCTTTCTTCATTGTCCACTTTTGCCATGAAATTATTTTTTTTCTTTTTTCCAGAATCATTGTTTGTGCTCCGCAAGACTCTTCCACTGCTTGTCCAAAAAGGAGCGGGATCAAATCCTGATAGCGCTGCGGTGAATTCCGATGCATTCAAAAAAGACGCTATGTTAAACTGCTTCCCCATCAACGATCAAGCAAAACTAAACGAGGCGGAAGCAAAATTAAAAAAGAAGGGATTTAAAGAAAAACTGGTAAGATTTCAATGAAAATATTAGCCCTTCACCAGACCCCTTTGTCACTCTCATCAAACAGTAGCCCTTGCCAAGGTTACGCATGAGTCTTTCTGAAAGGAAGTTCCCAAAGGAAAGCAGGCATAACCGATTTGGTGTTAGTATTTTGGACCAGAAGGCTCACTAGCTGAAATATAAAGGTGCACCCCTTGTAGGTGACCATCAGTTTCTTGGTTGCATCTAATAATTCAGTTATCCTATAGAAAGAATACTCACTAATGTTGACTTAATTTATAGCTCAGTGTCGTCAGTGCTCGTGGGCCAAATAAAGGGGGCTTGTCAGCCCTCCCCTCAGTCAGTGATGTGCCAAGTTTATAATGTAAGGGTTGAAAACTACCAACAGGTTGCTGTGTGTTCCTTATTTATCGCTGCTCTCCTAATGACAAATTTGTTTCAACAGAAGTAAATACATCGATGTTAGGATCTCACCAAGCTAAATGTCCTCTTTGCTCTTACTTTTCTTCTCCACTCATAAAAATTGTAAGGCGTATGAATGTTCAGATCAGTAGGTCCATTTAGAGAGTTTATTAATTTCGTGATGTATTAAGCACAAAAATTGTCAGGCTCTTTTTAGTGTAGGGACCATTTTATAATTGGATAACCTACAACTAGCCTCTTGTATCCTTTTAAAGATTCTGGAACTCTTCAATTCTTCAATTTTGTTGTGTTTGCTATTTTTATGTCCTTTTTTGCTTGCAGACTAATTTACTATTGTCCAAAAAATGCGAAGACCTAAAAGAAACGGGCAGGAGGATGTGCGCCCTAATTTTTACTGATGAGTTTGGCAAAAATTATTCTTTGCATGGTCGAAAACAAAAGAAGAAATTCTTGGATTTGCCGCTTGTAACTTTGATCAAAAGTAAGTTTCATTACTGTTCCTCTTATAAAGATGAAAGTGAAAGGCAGCTGCACGACAATCTGCATCATGGTTTAGTCAAATATAATATTTGCCCAAAACTTAGACTTTAAGAGCGAAGAATGATCATGGTTTCCCCAATCGCCTTTCCCTCCAAAGAGAAGTTGTAGTCCTGATTTCTGTTGTATCCTCTCTTCTAGACAAGTTTCCAATAAATGACGGATGTAGGATATCTGTGTGGTTATGAAAAATTCTGAAATGCTCATAAAAGATATGTTTTTCATCGCTGAAGGCTCCTTTCATTTTAGGGTCACATTGAAATACTGATTTGAGCGTTGATTCCTACGCTTCTTTGTAAAATAATGATAGGTGAAATCAAAGTTTTGAGAAGTCAACCTCATTGAACAATCTGAAGTGAAACTCCATTGAAGTGGAAACATTTTACTGTACATAGTTCGCAACTGCACAGTTTTTCCGGACCAATTTATCATTGTTTTTGAGATGAAAGAAAGTTTGTACTGCACTGAATGCAGATGAAATTATACTGATAAATTTTTTTAATCATTTCAGGAACCACAGAGACAATTGTTTCGGCCATTCTTTTTTGAATCTTTATCTGTACAAATAACAAACACCTGTGCACTCAGTTACAATTGCCTTTTTATTCAAATTAGAGCACGGCCAGTGCTTTTGCAAGTGCCCAAAAGATGTGTTTTGTTATTTGTCAGATAAAAATCAGACGAATTATAAACGATTCAATTTGAAAGCTAAGCCTCAAACATTTGACACTCAGCCTTCCAATTAATTGTTTATCATCCTGCTGTTCCAAGAAATCTGCGAATCTACGAAACAAGGGACTGCAGATAAAAGGTACATTAGTCAAAGGTATTGGACATTTATACTGCGTGAATTTTTCTCTCTGGTCATACAGATTTTGCTCGATAGTTATATATTTCGAGTTCTTTGCTTTTTCCCTGCTTGACACATAATGACTGCAACATCGGCCAACATGTTCTGAGCTCTTTTCACCTTCTTTAACTTTGTTTCCTGCATTTTAGGATTGCTTTTTATCTTATTATTTATAGCGCAGTACGTCTAATCATGCTAGCTTCTTTCCTTCTAATCATTCTTTATCCTCCGTTTATCAAACCACTTATCATCATTAGCCAGCAGTACTCTTGTCTTTCTTTTATTATCAAGATGAATACAAAGTTTAGGAAAGTAATTTCTAACATGTAGGTGACAAAGTTAATGCATTTGTTCTTTTGCTCTTCCTTGATGGTGATGGTTTACCTTGAGTTGTTTGAATTACGTAAGTGCAACACTATTTATAAAGAAACAAGAAAGCTCTGCTGTATCTTGACTCTAAGTAATAGGTATGCCATACCACTTGGGTTTCTTTGTCGTTCACTGTGTAGGAGCTCACAATTATGTATAGTGAAAAATATTGATCAGCTGCGCATGAGCCTTTTTTATTTTTTTTCTTCTTCCACAGCTGCTCTTGGGATTGCCTACAGCTCCAAAAAACCGCCACTTACGGAGGAAGAACAGCATTCTGCAATAGATGCCTGGGTGAAATACTGTGGCGCTAGAATTTCACAGGTAACACGTTTTATTTCTACTTCTCTATGCCTGTCTGTAAAAGGGCTCAAATCCGCTCCTCCAAGATACTTCTCTCGTCCACAAATTTTTTTATTGCTCCCTCTTGAATTGAAAAACGAAACATTATCAAGATTTGTCTGAACGTTAAGCATTCGTACAATAATTTTTTTTTTCTTCTTTTTTTCAATCACCAATTGGTGGAAGTTCTAACGTTTTTCAGCTCTAAAAGAAGTCATGAAAAATACTATTAATTATTTCTAAAGGGCCTGTATGTAAAGTTTATTCATGAATTTTTTTGTTTTTATCAATTTAGTGAGGTATGCAAATTATAATGGATTGCTGGTTCCGGTTGTAAATATCTTTATTTTTATTCTTTTTCTTTCAGAAAGAAAAAGCTGTTAGACGTGGTGGCAACCAGCCTGGAGTATTGCCATCATCCGAGGATGAAGAAGAGGAGGAGCTTCAGGACCATCAGTCATAGCTCATTTACTCATTATAGCTTTCTGTGGGCAAAAAAGTTGAATTTTAAGATGCAACTCAAAATCAAGGACATAATTCACCGTAGTTCATGTCACACCTGCTCATTAACAGAATGGCCAGTACAAAATTGCAAGTTACAAAATACTACTTTTTGCATTATCCAATTTTTATATTATTTTATACATTTCTTATACATATCCAATTATTATTTCTGACTTGCAAATTAACTATGCAAGGTAAATGTGTTACTCTCTTTGATATTTTTCATTTATCTCATTTTTGTGCCAGAAATCGTCTTTGATGACTTCTGAAGGTATGAGAGTATGTGTTACTCTCTATGATATTTTTCATTTATCTCATTTTTGTGCCAGAAATCGTCTCTGATGACTTCTGAAGGTATGAGAGTTCATTGTCCCCATTTTTTCATGTTTATACTTATAGTTTTTCTATGTTAACCAGCTTTTGGTTAATAAATTTGTTTACATTAAACTTTTTTATTTTTCTAAAATACTCGAACTTTTGCAATAAATTGCCAATTTTTTTCTATAAATTTTTAAAATTATTATTTACCTTACCACAATGATTTGGCTTTTTAGTCGACTAACATTTTGTTTGTCTCTGTTCTTTTATGAAGATCAATTTGTGCTCAGTTCTGTCAGTACATAACGTGTCAGTTGTAATAAGTCACTATTATCTCTTCCATTAAATGTTCCTTTGGATTTCAGTAGGTCCGATTGTAAGTTGAAGTAAATTTCTGCTGATTTTATGCAGTTCTCAGCTGCTTGTCTTACGATTCGACTGCATTAAGCAGGAAAGGAAATAAGTCACACCAGCCATTGCTAATATAGTAGAACAGTGTTAAAAATTCTCTAAACAATTTCAGGGAAAGTTTGAAGAAGAGAGTAACCGAATTCCCTCCAATTTTCAAGAAAATTGGCTGAATAGTTCCCTTGTGTAAAAACTGATTTTTCGATGAAATCAGGCAATATCATAATGTGACTCAGTCCTATTTTGCTTAATGTATAGTCTAGTTTGTAGTGCCGAAATCAAACTTTACGCACTGCGCCAGGACACAGCCCTGCTCGCCGAGCAGTGGTGAGCCCGTAGCATACGATCAAAGAAGAACTTTCAAAGTGGCATCACGCGGGGTCACGTGACGAAGATTGTCAGCCTCACAGGGTCACATGACCCCACGTGACGCTACTTTGAGAGCTATACTTTGATCGTATGATACAGGCCGTGCGCCTGCTGCAAATTTGCCGTTCACGTTGTTGTAACGTTGCATTAAAGTTAATGAAACGTTAAACAAAAACGATCTGTTAATGTTTTCATGAGACGTCATCGAAACGTTCATCAAAAACGTTCAGGTAACGTTTCATGGCAACGTTGGATCGCGCTGTCTCAAAATTATGGTTGCTGCAACGTTGGAGAAACGTTATGGGAAAACGTTACGAAGTTTTTGGTGACGTTTTGGCAACGTCGCTGCAACGTGCTGTTGCCGGGCGGGCCAGCGCTGCGCCTCAGTTCACCCAACTGATTTTCAAGTTGACTGATTTTCCCGTTTTTTTTTTTTCAATTGCAATATTAGTTCAACTTATATGCCACCTCAAACATTTTCGTGCACTCCCTCTGGATTGTAAAAAGTGCACTTAAAAAATTTCAAGTAAGAGCGCTTGGGTTTCGGTTGAAATATATAAAATATTAGAGAAAACTGAACTACGTTGGGTATCGTTGGACAGATTTTCTTGGTTCTCTTCACTTAGAACTTGTGCTTTAATGTACAGATATCGACTTCTTCCGCTTTAAAGACTTCAAAATAGTCTTATTTTCCTGATTCGACCTATACCTGGAAGAAAATACTCGACGGCATTCCTTGAAAACTTAATCCCTGACTCGTGTCTTTCATGTAAAATATATTCTGTGAAAAATTCAATCGATATATTTGGGATCAGCGACCCTGGTAAAAAAGACGACTACCCCTGCGACTAGGAGGGTACATAAATGGAACCGGTGTAGGTAGCCGTGCGACTACCTAGATGTAGTCGTGCGACTACCTAGATGTGGCCGTGCGACTGCCTGGATGTAGCCGTGCGACTACCTGGATGTAGCTGTGCGACTACCTAGATGTAGCCGTGCAACTACCTGTGGGTGTTCCCACTACGTACCCTCCTAATCACAGGGGTTGTCTTGGCGACTACCCAACTTGTGGAGTGCATATGTCATGCAAACATGTTCAATAAAATAGAAAATGAACAAAAACCACTCACCAACTTGCTCGAATCAGTAATCCACTGGGTCAGGAAAATCCACTTGACAACAATTAATCCAAATTTCCAATTAGAACTGGTGTAAGTACAGAGAAACACTTGAAAACACTATGGGTGCATTGTAAAAAAAATCTTAAGCACTCTTTAGCGTAAGTGAAAAATTAGCACCATGATTTAATAGCTGATCAATACAGAACAGCACTCTCAGAAAAGCACTGACACAACACCATTTTTCAGTTTATTTTTACTTCTAGGAGAAAAATGCATTTTTCAAAAGATCCGACATCATCGGCCATCACTCGTCAGCAATGAATGAGATAAAAATAAAGCTTAAATAATTTCACAATTTACTCCGATCATTGATGATATTAAGGTAGCCATTGATTCTCTACCCGACGTCCTTATCACACATAACAAGGAAGGTCAAGAGCACAGAGCAAATGGCACTAAGCAGCGCGATGCACATGTGATATCGCAAGTTCCGGAAGTGTCGATCTGCAAAAATACAAAGCGAGAAACAGATCATCATATTGATCCACCTACAATTAATGACCGTCAATAGAGACAGACATTCAAATACGTTATAATAAATAAGCCACCATTTGTTAACAGAACAAAGTTTTCGTGAGAGTAAGACCCTTCCGTCTGGAGGGACGAGGACCTTCCTTGGACCTTTCCTTCCGAGAAACACTTAAAAATGGACCACTTTACTACTTACAGGTCTGAGCTGCTGAATGAATTACATTACACCAGTCAATAAAATTTTAAACTCACGCCCTCACCGTCGAATGTTGACGGATGACCTGATCTATCGCTGAATATACATAAGTAGGATGGGAAGTTGGCACATCTGAAAAGTTGAGGGGTTCATACTTATTTCAACTCTAGTGGTACTAGATATTATTAAAATTAGATAACTGCCAGATGTCCTACAGGAGATGAAGTGGGTGCAACAAAACTTTTCGACTTGAAGTAGAGCCTGCAACTGCAGTTAGGAATAGCACATGGTAGTAAATGCATACACAGACAGAGAAAATAGAATTCACAATTACCTTGCTAGTTAGAATACCTAAATCGACTGAATCGTAAATCGGGAAAGCAAATTCAACTCAAGTTACTTTATCAGTTGCTTGACAATCGGTGACAGGCTCATTCGTGTGTCCGTCGTCCCGAGTTTAAAGGTGGAAGGAGAAGGGAGAGTATTTACCTGTGTTTGATGAAGTTAGGTACAGTGAGGTGGATGCCGATGATACGAATCACGAAAACAACTAAGGAGATCAAATTTTGGATTAATTATTTCATTTTCAAAGTAACGGCATGGTCGACCGTAACCGTTGCGTACGGGTACGGGTCGGGTCGGCTTGGCGGCTTGGTGAGGTGAATTCACTGAATTGAAATGAATTTGAATTTAGTGTTCCAAGTTGGATACCGGATAGTTGGGCGGTGGACCGTTCCAACTGTTGACTTTTCATCCGGGTTTCGTATGAAAATGAAAATCAGCCTCTAAAAGCATTTAAGAATGCCAGTTTTTGTACTTTAATCCCTGCTTTGAATTATTCTGCTGATAATTCTCTTTGATAATTATTTTGATAAATATATACGTCCCTTGAAGTATCGGCAAGGAACGATTATTCCAGGAACACCAGGAACACCTTGACAAGTGTTAGGTTATGTTATGTTTTGTTAATATTAATGTTTATTGTTTATCTCCCACATTTGTTCCAAAGAGCTCTACTGGTTCTACCTTTTTCCTTTTAGTCCTTTTACTCAAAAATTGGCACAATCAGTAAGTAATTTTTCATCATCACACCCTTGCGTACTTCAATTCAGTCTAATGGCATCTATTGATTCCAAGTATTCAAATTAAAAATTGAGAACTCTCTACTTGCCCAAATAGTTTGCCGACTGTTACCTAGCTACTGTGAGACAACAGTTCTTTCACCCGTCCGTTCAATATACTGAATTACAGAAAGGCATCCTCACTGCGTATCCTCTGTCATTTTCTTGAATTGGCTGGCTAATTTATTAGCGAAAACTTGAAACACCTCATCCATAGAAATTTGACAAATCGCACATTTGCAGTGGTGCGCTGGTGTTGCACTTATTTCTTCCCTTTTAAGGCAACAGATAGTTGTTAAATTTTAAAATACTACTAGAGCTGAAACAAAAATGACCGCTCAGCTTTTCAGATGTGCCAACTTCTCATCCTACTTATGTATATTCAGCGATAGATCAGGTCATCCGTCAACATTCGACGGTGAGGGCGTGAGTTTAAAATTTTATTGACTGGTGTAATGTAATTCATTCAGCAGCTCAGACCTGTAAGTAGTAAAGTGGTCCATTTTTAAGTGTTTCTCGGAAGGAAAGGTCCAAGGAAGGTCCTCGTCCCTCCAGACGGAAGGGTCTTACTCTCACGAAAACTTTGTTCTGTTAACAAATGGTGGCTTATTTATTATAACGTATTTGAATGTCTGTCTCTATTGACAGTCATTAATTGTAGGTGGATCAATATGATGATCTGTTTCTCGCTTTGTATTTTTGCAGATCGACACTTCCGGAACTTGCGATATCACATGTGCATCGCGCTGCTTAGTGCCATTTGCTCTGTGCTCTTGACCTTCCTTGTTATATGTGATAAGGACGTCGGGTAGAGAATCAATGGCTACCTTAATATCATCAATGATCGGAGTAAATTGTGAAATTATTTAAGCTTTATTTTCATCTCATTCATTGCTGACGAGCGATGGCCGATGATGTCGGATCTTTTGAAAAAAGCATTTTTCTCCTAGAAGTAAAAATAAACTGAAATATGGTGTTGTGTCAGAGCTTTTCTGAGAGTGCTGTTCTGTATTGATCAGCTATTAAATCATGGTGCTAATTTTCACTTACGCTAAAGAGTGCTTAAGATTTTTTTTACAATGCACCCATAGTGTTTTCAAGTGTTTCTCTGTGTACTTACACCAGTTCTAATTGGAAATTTGGATTAATTGTTGTCAAGTGGATTTTCCTGACCCAGTGGATTACTGATTCGAGCTAGTTGGTGAGTGGTTTTTGTTCATTTTCTATTTTATTGAACATGTTCGCATAACATACGTCATCCGTTGTTACCTTGCATGATGCAAATGTAGCTGGAGGATTCTCCTACACATGCGTAGTGGAAGATGATGAACATTCTGAGAATATTCTGAGTTTAGCTGCTGATACAGAATATTCTCTGATTATTAAAATGCTGCTCAAAATGTAGGAACATTGTTGGAATATTCTCAGAACATTGGGTGCTATCTGGCTGGTGTGGCAGTTTCACCATCGGTATGCTGTAATTAAATCATAGTCTGAGGCATAATGTAAAGGTGATGTTAATATGTAGTTGCACAACTAAGTGTCCCAGAGTTGTGTAGTCACATGTCTAGCGGGTAAAGGTAGGTACATAAACATATGCACCTATGCTTGCGGATACCCACTATTGCTCTGCAACTACACATTCATGGCGACTACTAACCGGTGACCACCTTGCAACTACCTTGCGAATACACTGCGCCTACTGATGACTACCCTTGACAACCATGTGACTACATTGCGACTTCTTACATATGCACACGGCTATGCTATGTATTCGCAGCATAGTCGCAGCGTAGTCGTCTTTTTTACCAGGGGATTTTGAAACACGATAAACGTATTTCGCATTTTTCAAGCTCCCCCGTCGATATTAACCTGGAATTTTTGAAGACAACTCCAGCATGAACATGCGAATGGACCTACATGATGCAATTGAGCTGTCAGGAAAATAGGCTCGAGCTGTATAAAAGAAACATATTTTGGGGGACAGTTCTAGCAATGTACCTCCCTGAAAAACTTAGGTTAGGCGTAGTTACTCTGAAAATATTGCAGATAAAAAAACATAGAGATGGGACAGATATAAATGACTCAACATGTATCAAGCAAGCTTCGTGAGTTTTCAAGAGATAAAAAATTTAGAGTAGAAGCAAATCAAAAATTGCATGTGTGGATTCCATTCTTTAGTCAAGGATTTACGTAGCCTGGGTCGGGCTTTTCTAAATTTATCGCGACCGCAAGCAGTTTTGCTCAGTCGCATTCAATCAGGTTCGCCCAGTGAGAAAACGTAGAAAAACCAAGCCTGAAATAACCATAAATCTAGCAAAATGTTCTTCACGTATGATTTCAATCGATTTGAAAAGTTTTTGAGCGCCCAACACGCAATGCGCAGCGGACGCTCTCTTCGGAGATTTTTTCGACTGCGGACGAGGTGCTCCTGAGTGGGGGTTGAAACGAAGTTGGTCGTAAAGGAAAAAATTGAGCTGGATCACCAAAAGTAGCACCCCTAGATACTAAAAACCACAATTTCGAAATCGGGCGTCAAAGGCTCCTCCAGATATAATTGCAATTTCAGTAATGAGTTTTTTTATGGTTTTAACGCGAAGACATTTTTAGAGATAAAGAGAGTGTCCTCTTGAGCTAATGAACTCTTGTTTCTCTCTCATTCAGAAATTGCAACTTGCGAGTGGCCAGCACGTTGGATTGTTACCCTAGCGCTTAATGTTCGAACCTAGCACTCGCGCCTGATTTTTTCACCAGGCCGCATATTTTCAACCCAAAGATTTGGTCCGTGCAACCTAAAGATTTGGTCCATGCAACCAAGCTTTCGTCAATGTGACCAAAACAGAAACAACCAACAAATATTTACCGCACGTTTGATTACTTTGTGTTTCACTTCCAATATTATAACAAAGAATGTTGACCTCTTTTTTGCGTTCTCCCTCATGGTGGGACCTAGACCTGGGACCATGAAAGAGCGCCAATCTCGAGTCGTAGATCACGAATATATATGTCATTCATTTTCTGTCATATATGTATGTATGTATTTAATGTATGTATGTATTTCAGCCAGTGTGAGGATTTTTCAGTTTTCAGAGCGTTGAGCGGCAGTTAATTTTTAAGTTTCTTGAAACGAAACTTCTTGGGTTTTTTTCTTACGATGCACCCAAACTGAACATTGACGAATATGGTTCGGAACATTTCTGATGCGCTATAAATCCGTTTTTAGTGAGATTTTGTCCATGAAAAAATCACTCAGTTGTCTGTATTTCATGCTTGTAACACGCCCATTTTAGAAAAAAATTGTTCAATTTTTTCGAGGGCATAGCAAGGCAGAATTCTTTTCAAAATCGTAAGGTTTCCGTTTTAAATGATGATAAAAGAGAAGAGACGGGCCTGCAGCGAGATCATAGCGGCCCCTTATTTTTATGCAAAACGCACTGGAGAAATATTCACTGGCAGCGCAAACGGCGGAATAATGAAGCGTTCCGGTGCGTCTGTTGATGACAGCGATTTAAGCTCCGCAAATGCATTCTGTTTACTTTTAAAGCGGGTATTTTACCACTGCAACGAACTCCTCCGCAACTGGAGGAAAGTTTCGAGGGCGGGCAGCGGCAGGGGCTGCAGAGAGGTGAGGGAGCAGGCTATGATAGTTATGTATGTAATGAATGCTTTCCGTCGTCCTTGCAGCGCCGCACAGAGGATTTAGTCAATAAGAGAAGTCGGACAAAATGTAGAAGCTTTAAGGACGTATAATTCCGCTAAATCAAATCTGTGAGGTTTTGAAAGTGGTTCCAATTGTTTTATCCTAATATTTTCTCCATCAAGCATCCTTTGAAATAGAAAATCCTTCCAAAAAAACAAAAATATGATTTTTGTACAAAATTTCGGCCCAATCCAAAAAATGTCACTAATTACCAAAAACAAAAAAAAAACCAGGCACCCAAAAAATATGATGGCAGTACCGTTTGGATTCATCATATAAAAGGAAATGATATCAAAACGGCCCAATTTTCTCTTTCATGCCCATGCAATATACCAAACACCCCAACTTTTTTCACAAAAAAAAAATAAATAAATAAATAAATACCTATAAGGCATGATGACCTGAACACGTTTATTGGATCCATCGCTTTAAAGGAGTATGATATCAAATCGGCCCAACTTCTCTGAAATATGNTTTTTTTTTTTTTTTTTTTTTTTTTTTTTTTTTTTTTTTTTTTTTTTTTTTTTTTTTTTTTTTTTTTTTTTGGGTCGTCATTTTTTAGAGGGAGTTTTTTAGGATTGGGCCGGGGTGGCTACCGCCACCTAGAATTTGACAAAATTCGCATTAAAATTTGCAGTTTAAGTAAACAAATCCATGCCCGACTTCTTCTGTTGTGTCGATCCACTGTGCGCCGTTGCATTTAAATCCGTTTAAAGAACCTTCATTTCCGTTGTACGCAGAGGGGAAAGATGGTGAAAAAACCCGGCGGCTCGTTAAAATAGCGCGAAACATCGTGCGTAGTCCTTGTAACTGTTTTACTTCATGAGAGGGCGTTTAAAAAAATGATAATAATCAAATTTTCATCATAACTTTTGAACGACTGATTGTAACTCCGATGGTGAAAATGAAACAGAGTCACCCAGGAACTGTCGCTATCCACCAACCCCAATCTTCATCTCCCTTTTCCGCCGATTCGGAGTGTCACGCAAGGTGGCATAGGTCGATACAAATGAGGAAATTAATTCAATGAAGAAACTTTTTACATCCTTTCATGTGGTATTTGTACAAATAGTTTTTACTGCAGATTAAAGCACACCATTTTTTACAACTCAGAATCCCCATTTTCAGGAATAAATAAACGTCATCAAAACGCATTTTTATACAAATAGCCGCAATTAAGATAACCTCACCTTCGGGCCAAAGTATCACAAGTGCCATGCGATGTTTAAAAATTTCCGCTGCCATTTAATTTTTCAACAGAGATTTTTTTCAACGGAGCTGTCCAAAAATTTCACTAAATTTTCTTTGTGCTGCCGATAAAATTCAGTGAAATTTTCAAACAGATTCAACCACAATTTCACCGTAAAAAAATAAAATGGCGGCGGAAATTTTGAAACGTCGCATGGCGCTTGTGATATTTTGGCCGGAAGGAGACGACGCGATGTTTGGTTTCACCATTGATATTCTGCTTTGCGGCGAGGTATACCCATTACCATAGTGCATTTTATTACACGAGCTAAGAAGGTCATACATATACAGTCTTCATCCAACTTTTTTCATCAAGAAATCTGCATCGTCGAATTGGAACAATTCATTGAGTGACGTCGGGCCGGGGCGCACAGCTTCTACCGATGGTGTTCACTTTTTCCTCTCGTTTCATAGATGATTCCCGCTTATGTTTCGCGGGATTTATCACTGTCTCAGCCTGTCAATATGTCGGAGGGAGCGTAGAAACAAACATTTGTTCGCTCAACGGCGAACGTGTCGCCCAACATATTGAATTTCAAGCTCCTACTTAATGCCTTCTCCTGACAAGTGCCATTCGTTGTTGCCACCCGCGCACTATTTTTTTGTGTAGAGAAAACTCCGGAAACTTCAGATCATGTTTGATTCTACCTTTTATAAAAATCGCACTGAATCTATATCACCAGAGATAAACTGCGATACGAATTTTTTAATGCATGTGTCGTATGGTTTGAGAGGCATACAAATGCACGAATGTACTCAAGTCATCCTTGGTGTAACGACAAAACGCTTTCGAAAGAATTAGAGGCTATGAACGGAAAAAAACGGTACCTACTGATGACAGAACTTTCCTTTTAATCGACTTAATACTTTCAGAATTATTCTGTAGTGAGAACAGAATTTCGGTCGCGGGCACAGAGTACTCTGTCCTTGCAACGGAAACTTCTGTAACTGTTTCAAAGGAAGTTCGGGTGCCCTGTGAACAGAAATATTTTTTTCAGTGTGGAGAAAATGTAAAGCCTTTGAAAAAGTATGTAACCCTTACAACGTCAACTCTGGGGGTCAAGAGTATTCTTGAGTAGAAAAGGTTACATCGGCGGTGAAACTACCGGACCACGTATCTCTGTTTACGACATTGCGATCTTCCTATCACGCTTTATTTTTTAAATGGAAAACTACTCATCGTCAATTCTCAAAAATCTCCGTGATTTGTCTCCTGTGTGCGAAAAGAACTCTGTGAGAATGATACTGGTTTGTTCTCCTTCACAAAAATAAAACGAGAGGGTAGATTTTTAAACACCGCAAACGAGATACGTGGTTTGGTAGTTTCACCGTCGATATGCGCTTATAAGCGACAAAGAAAAAAGGGCTTCCGTGAGTCCAGAGGCAGTTTTAGTTATTCCCTTTTTTTATTGAACTTTTCTTACTTTTTGTCCGATATGTTTTTAAATTTTCGACAAAGAATACGCTGAGCAAAGAATTTCTCGGTACATTTTCTCAAAACGTGTTTATTTTTCATAGATTTTTCTAGGTTTCTATTAATTTTCCAGGCTGTCCACGCCATTCGAAGGATTGAGCCTGGCGCTGATGATTCTAGCTACATTTTATGCCGTCATTGGACATTGCAACAGTGACAAAAAAACCTTGGTGGCCTGCGCTCTGTACACATTAGCAGGTATGGAATCATTCAGTTATTTGTACAGGGTGTTCGTATAACTATTAAATTCAGCAATAGTTAAGACCTCATCAGGGAAGCCTCGGAATGCTTGAAGACTGTCAAATTCGGATTCTCAGGAGGCAATAACCCTGACAACCATTTTTATTTCGAACCTCCACTTCAATTTGGTCACCTAAAAGAAGGGACTCTCATCTTCAGGGGCCTATATTTCACATGAGAGCGGCCTAATTTTCTAGAATCAATTATGAATAACATTTATTGTGCTTCCAATTTTGATTGAGTAATGTCCAACATTTTACAGGAGCTCTAACTTTTAAGAGATTACCCCCTCCCCCTCCAACTCAGCAACAACCAAGTTCTCAACTTCATCCGATCTGAAATACCTAACTGAGATAAAATCTTAGCACGGACGCTCTGTGACACCCCGTATATTCGGCATTTATGTCCGATGAAAGAATCGTTGCCGAGCACAGCAAGGAGAGTCGGTGGCCCGGGGGGAGGGGGGTTCATCACCACAGTAAACTTGCGCAAATTGCAAAGTCAATGTGGAAGGCGTAGTGTTGGTTGGAATTCCACGCTCAAAATTTGAGTGAGATTCCACGAAAATTCGCTCAGAGAAAAAGTTGCCAACACAAATTTGCAAATCCAACCATTAAATCTGGCGCAGCGTATCACTCCATTTGCGAAAATTCGTGGAAAAATTATGTTCATCAAGAGATGGGTGCCCTTTGCTTTTGACGCATATGAACTAAGAGCAAGCAGCCTGACGCCCTTTACATCCGTTCATGGTAAGGAGAGGTTAAATATCGCGATATTCCCTCTCTGGAACTCATTTTTTTTTTTAAGACGACAATACTCAGTTAACTACGCAGCGATAACGACAGAACACGATCTCGTGGAGTGTACTCTCTGTCAGTACATGACGTCACCCGAAAGCCACACCGCGTAGCTCAAAATTCGATGACTTTGTTTCAAAGCCACGCATTTCATTTACCATATTTCATAACTTCCGCACATATTCTTCCATTAAGAAGGAAAATAATCAACAGTGAGGGCATTAAATTGTCTCTGTTTATTTGTATATATTTACTTTCATACTTAAACGATAGCATAATAAAACCTAGATATTAGTTTGTATTTCTTCTGAAAAAATCAAATATCAGCGGAAATTTTAAAACTTGGAGACCCATTCTACTGCGGATTTCAATCATCGAGTTCTTCGAAAACTTTACATTCACGATTTGAGGCACGTCATAAATCCGTGCACGACGAAGAAATCTTTCCGCTGTCACGTCATGCACGATTGCTTTTTGCAAATAATACGTAATTTTTTGCACTTCTCTTGATCTCTGCTCTAGGTGTGAATGACCCACTTTTTTAAAGCATCTATAAATCATTAATAAAAGAGTGGAGGGATTCCATCTTTTAGTTGATTTTGCCTTTTTCTATTTCATGCCGAATAACATTGATCGCAAAATATATTGTTCCTGAGATAGGGACTGAGATAGATATCAAGGTGAATCGAAAACGATAAAAGAATCGACTCATCGACCCAGAAGCCTTTGTGGAACCGTTAATTGTGATGTGGGAAGAAGGTGGTGTTTTAAATTTTCCCCACGGAGCGTCATGCCAGCTCGGGGTCATTCATCATCGCACCGGGAGGCGTTTAATCCAGTGGTGGAACGGTAACTGAAATATCTGTCAAAATCCACGATGGATCGATTCAGCGAATCCGCGACCACCATTCTGCCCGCCCGCCACTCGACATTCTTTGTGGAAATTCTCTCTGGAAAAACTTGCCCGGGAGTAGATTAACTGATGCTCTATCAACTGGAAAAAATCAAGTTCCTTAAAAATTGTAAAGGAATTTTTAAGAATTGTAGGGATTTAACATGTAGAATGAGAACCCGAAGGAAACCTTGGTAGCACAGGCACGTTTAAGAAATCTGCCGGTAAACGACCTCTTAATAATGTATCCAGGAGACTTTTCTGTTTTATTTTTACGTGAAATGAGGTGAAATTTAAAGCAATTGAGAGATGATAACTCGATTTTTTTTTTCAATTCTGTTAAACTTATTCGACCGAAACGCAAAATGACGATGCAAAAACATGGAACATATAATTCTGGGAAAAAGTGAAAACCTTTATTAACTTTTACCGAAGCAAACTACAAAAAAACGAGTACAAAGCTCACGAATAATGTTCGTATATTTATATATGGTTTTGATACATAAGAAAGTGTCCCAGTTTTTCAAACAGAATATTCAATATGTAGAAATTGCAAAAAGAAAGAAAAATCAATTTGGAATCAACATTGTTTACCAAAGGAGAGGAAATTAAGTTCAAACGAGGATTTTGAACTGCAGAAATCCATTTCGAAATGTTTTTGGCATATAAATGTATTGAGGGGCAATTTTTGTAAAGCAACGTACCTACATAATGTTTCAACCATAGGCGGTTCTAGACCTTCATGCTTGGGGGTGCCCAGAGGTGGAAAATGTCGGAGACCGGCCCCGAAGGTCGCTCAGGGGAGGCCTAAGTTTCGGCCCTCAAGTTTTATCCCTTTCCTACCCTCCTTTCTCTTTTTCTCTCCTTCTTTTCTACTTAAATACCTCTATAAATTCAATGTAGAAAATTTTTAGCAAAACTTTCCATCAAAAATACAATTTTACCTTTACCATAAAAAAAACAGTAAAATGTTTGTAAAACACGGCTATCAATATTAATTCTATTTAAAACATTTTCAATTAATTGCTGGGATTTTTTCTCACTGTGAGCGAATACAGAATCTTTAAAAGCAGTAATTTCACGGTTCTGAGAACCATACTTAATTTTTGCTTGGGGGTGCCCGGCACCCACTGTCACCTTCGCAGAACCGCCTATGGTTTCAACGCTTTTTGATTGAGTAATTGTTCACAAGTTTCTCGATTTTTAAGTAAAAAATGAGCGTAGAACAGCAGGACGTAATTTTCCAGGAAGTTGCACATCTGTGTGACACAAAGGGGATGGGAGTTTTGAATTTGAAATTTCAGTATAATGTGATTTTAAGTGGTTCCTGACGTGCAATGAATCAACCGAGACATTCTCTTTTAATGTTGAGTCAACATCTGAAACCCTCGAAATAAATTGACAATTCGTGTGTGATTTGGTTATCTCCTCCATGTGTTCTCACAATCCGCCCAAATGGACATAAACTCTTTAGATAATCAAATTTAATATGCATATTGCAGCCTATGATCGGATACTATATAAGATTATGAATATGACAATGAAATGCATCAGCTAGTTAAAAATTAAAGTGAGCACCTTTGGCATATTTATCATCCTATTTAATATACCTTTTGAATGTATTTTTGAAATAATACCACTCATGCCCAAACACAGCCCAAATATTTTTCTCAAGAGAGATAGTGAATTTTTTAAAAACTTTTTCATAAGGAAAGAGAAAAGTTTCATACTGAATACATTCAAAATAATTGTGGACTCAGGCTAAGAAAAACAAAGAGCAAAATAATTTATTGTGCGACTTTGGTGACTTTTACTGTGTGACTGATTTTTGACCTAGGCTACTGAGATATATTCCACATGTAACTGCCGTTAAATATAAACAATTCATACAATTTTAAACAAATTTATGAGTATTTATACAGAGAAAAAGTACCTATGCAATAATTTTAATTATACATGGCGCAACTAGCTGTCATGCTTCCTTGGCATGTCAGCGGAAATCAAGGAAAAGAACGGAACGGAAGCAAAGCATCCACGAATTACAGCTCCGGTAAATGACCCACGCCGCGGCCGGGGCGGCGGGGGAAGGGGGCTCGTGGTGGTTGACTCCTTCGGATATTGTACGTAAACTATTTGCGCGAAGCGATCTACAAGTCGTGGCCGCGAGCTGGCCCGGTGCGACGTGGGGTGGGGGTGGGGGGGGAGAAGCTGGCTGGGTCAAGGAGCATGTTCCCTCGGGAAATTTATAGAATACTCCTTGGAACTACCGCGATTTTCAGAGACCTGATCCCAAATTACTCCCCAGCGGTTCCTACTCGAAGCGGCGGGGCGAGCATGTTGGTCGCTGCACGGATACCGTCGCGTTTCCGCCCGAGCTCTCACGACATCGCGGAAATGAAGCATCCTTGAGGATAATTGGATTATTCGCGACAAAATGAGTCGATAATGGGCCACTAGACGAGCTTCAAATAAAATTAACGCACCACGCGTCGTGTTTTCTCAAAATGTCACGAGGCAAATAAATGCCACGCCGCGAAGGAAGTCTAGAAATCAACTCCTGGACAAGATGGCCTCTTGCAAAAAACTGGAAGTTTTTTTTTTTTTTTTTTTTTTTTTTAACAATCGCGGAGAAAGATGAATTGATGAGATTTAGCAATTAAATCGTTGGAAAATACATCCAACATATTCCAATGTAGATTTTACAATAGTGGAAAGCTAATTTAACCACCCTCGTGGTAAAATGGACTGCATTAAGCATAAAGGAACGAAGCCACATCAGCTATCGCCAAAATTAATTGGGCAATTTAATTTGTTACATGAAAACAGTTGAGCAAATTTTTGTGCATATTTCTGTTCATTTTCTGCATAATACGAAGCGAATTAATTAAAGTTTTCAAAGGAGTCCGTACAAACGTTCTTTTGTAAAAAATTAAATTGCCCAGTTAAATTTGACAATCGCTGATGTGGCTTGGTTCTTTTCTGCTGAATATGGTCCAAATTAGCTTTCCTTTATTGTAAAATTTACATTTGAAACCTGTCGGACACTTTTTCAACGCAAAATTCTGATAAATCAGCACTTTCATATTTTTCCGTGTAACATTAACTTCTTTGCGAGATTTATTTGACATGAATCTTGTTTCAGATTGAAGAAATGTTTTACTTTCGAATCCACGAACAGAAAGAATTATAATTCCTGACTATAAAATAAGCCTTTTTACAAGGTATGAATTAAAACGCTGCGCACCACGTTTTCTATCCAACATTTCAGA